ATTATTATTAGATTATATTATTATATATATATTATTATTATTATTTTATTATTATTATTATTATTATTATATTATTATTCTTATTATTATTATTTTTATTATTATTATTATTTTATTATTATTATTATTATTATTATTGTTGGAACGCGTACTAGCGTCACCCCGCCGCGCCGCTACTGGCGAGACGACCAGACAGGTTGCCTAACCTAGAAGCTTGTAACCGCCGTCCTGTCCCCGCGCGCCGCACCTCGGAATGCAGTCAGTCGTGAAGAGTCAGTCGTGGGAAGCAGTCGAAGTACAACAGCCAGCACACGCGCGCGGATCGCGGAACGCGGAAGCCCGATCTACACCTGTCGCTTATCTACCATCCATGTACATGTACTCAATAAACTGTTCTGAACCGAAGACCACTGCGAGTTGAATTGCTCTGCTTACCTATCCTCAACAGGTTACGGCCCAGAGACAGTGCTACGGACATTGAACAATTATTGCAAGTGCTGAGATATAATAGGAAGTGTGTGACTAGTGTTATCAAACATGAGTGTGGCAAAAGTATCCTGTATAGACTCGCTTAGCAGGGATAACTACGACACGTGGAAAATACAGATGAAGGCATTGCTGGTAAGAAAACGATCACTGGAGTTATGTATCTTGCGAGATAAAGCAGCCCGGCTAGATGATGGGGACGAAGCACCACGATAGCTGTAGAAGCCTGGACTAAAGGTGACAGCAAGGCGATGTCGGACATAATTTTTGTCATAAGCCCCTCAAAATCAAACAGGTAAAGAACTGTAATACATCCAAGGAACTGTGGCAAAAGTTGGAGGTATTTACCAATCAAAGGACCCGCTAGAAAGGCCACATTGCTCAAACAGCTTACACTGCAACGTATGGAAGAGGGACAGGACATACGATGCATTTAAACTCATTTTTCGATGCAAGTTTGACAAGTTAAATGACATGGATGTAGAAATCAATGCAGATCTATTAGCGATATGCTACTGTATAGCCTGCCAGCCAGTTTTGAAACTTCAGGTGTGCAATTGAGTCTAGAGACGAATTACCATCCCCCCGGAAATTCTTCGATAAAAATTATAGAAGAGTATACTGCGCGGAAAGGCGACGTTCGAGAAACGGAAGGCGCCATGTTCGTGAAGCGGAATTATGGGAAAAATCACGGTCACGCAGAAATGGCGGACGGGGCAGTGGCGTCTCGGAAGGTACCGAGGCAGCGGCGTCTCGGAAGGTGCACGAGGCAGCGGCGTCTCGGAAGGCAGAAGAACGTTCAGGTATAAGTGTCACAGATGCCGAAAAGTAGGCCACAAAGGCCGCTGAATGTCCAGACAAAGGTAAGACTGTTGCCAATTCTTACAAAAGTGAAGCGAACTGTTCCGACACGTGGGACTCGTTACCGCGGAATGTTATCATGTTGAACAGAATCACAAAAGACTGAAATGGTGTCTAGACAGTGGCGCAACGTCTCACTTATGTAAAGACATTAGTTGTTTTTCTGACTTTGAACGTAGACATGATCATTTGAATTTAGCAAATAGTGAATTTACGGACATTAAAGGTTCCGGAACAGCTACGTTTGTTGCTGACGTTTTTGGCGACACGAAAAACATCTCACTCCACAAAGCTTTCATGTTCCCGACCTAAGAGTAAACTTACTTTCTGTTGCAAAGATTACCGATAAAGGATTTGAAGTTTTATTCAAGAAAGAAAATGCTTTGATCTATGATAGTAATGGTGATATAAAAAGTTGTAGCCGATCGTAGTGGCGATTTATACTACGCGCGAGAGAAGGCGAAGCGCAGAATAAATCAGCTTTCATTTCGACCATGATTCTAAAATGTCAAACTATGGCATCGTAGATTAGGACATTTGAACTTTCAGGATTTGAATTCTTCATTGAAGAAAGGAATATTAGGTGGAATAAATATTGAAAATATGCCTAATAATGGGGAACTTAATTGCGAAATTTGCATACGCGGAAAATGACGCGTTCACCATTCCCGAAGAAGTCCGACAGGGAATCGGAAATGCTAGAAATCGTACATACTGATGTTTGCGGTCCCATGCGAGTAGAATCTCACTCGAAGTACAAATATTTTGTCGAATTCATAGATGATATTCTAGGTATTGCACGGTATTCTTCATGAAACATAAAAATGAAGTTGTGCGAAAGACTCAGGAATATATTACCACTGGTCGAAAACCAAAAGAACAAAAAGATAAAAGTGCATCCAATCTGACACAACGGGACGGAGTACACATGTAAGGAAATGGAGGATCTCCTGAAAAAGCACACGGAATTTCACGTCGCTTGACTTGCCCATACACTCCGGAACAGAACGGTATAGCGGAGAGGAAAACCGCACTCTCTTGGATACAGCACGTTGTCTAATCATGCAGTCCGGCTTACCTCGATCTTTTGGGCTGAAGCCATCAACACGGCCAACTATTTGCGGAACAGATGTCCATCCAAAAGTCTGAACGGGTTAACACCATACGAAAAGTGGACTGGAAAGACTCCCGACGTTTCGCATCTCAGAGATTTTGGTTGCAAGGTCTTCTGTCTAAACCAAGATCAGGCCAAGGGGAAGCTAGACGCAAGATGTAAGGAAGGAATTTTCATAGGGTATTCGGAACAACGAAAGGATACAAGATCTGGTTGCCGAAGGAGAATAAATTCGTAATCACGAGGGATGTTAAGTTCTTGGAAAACGCAGAAGTCACATGCCAAGAATGGACAGATTTTATTCTGGAAGGATCATCCAAGGAGAATGAATCTGAGATGCATACTATCGAGGTACAGCTATCCCCAGTTGTCGAGAACGAAAATCCAGAACATGAAACTCCTACAACGGAACAAGAGAGCCCGAGGTTGATCACGATTCTGAGCCACCCAGGCGTGCCCGCGGGAGACCCAGAATTCGGCGAACTGGTTCGAGGGGAAGACCTAGAAAGATATATAGGTACAGGACACCCCCGAGAGGTTCAGCACTCTCTTCTGAAGAGGTATTACTGTCCGAGGTCCCGATGCCATCAGGCAGTCAGAGGCGAGGACGCTGACGAATGGCACAAGGCGATGGCAGACGAAGTGGCATCTATCTTGAAAAATGGTACTGGGAATTAATCGACCGACCATGTAACCAGCACATCGTTGGAAGCCGTATTGTCCTGAGAAACAAGTACAAGCCTGATGGAACTATCGAAAGGAGGAAGGCAAGACTAGTCGCTCGGGGATTTAGCCAAAAGCCCGGAACACATTTCAACGAGACTTTTGCCCCTGTAGCAAGGCTTAGCTCCATAAGACTTGTATCTGCCCTAGCAGCACATTTAAATATGGACATGCAGCAACTGGATGTTACCTGCGCATACTTAAATGGAAGTCTAGATGAGACGATTTACATGGAAACCCCCGAATATTTGGATGAATCATTGAAGATTATTTGTGATAACTCCAAATACAACGAGGCTACCAGAAAGAAGGCTCGAGATACCTTGAACACACTGGGAAAAGGTGATAAAGTATGTCTACTTAGGAAGTCACTATACGGCCTGAAGCAAGCCGGGTCGGAGCTGGTAATCAGAAACTAAGTAAGCCAGACACTTAGTGAATGCTGTGCAAATCCAACTAAGTCCGGACCCATGTGTATTCACTAGTAAAACAGGGGAAGACATCATGATAATTGTCACTTATGTAGACGATCTGATTATCGCAATCACGTGACAAAAAGGCAATATCGTCCCTAAAAGCCAAATTATCTGAAAGATTTGAAATGAAAGATCTGGGATCAGTTATCATTGCCTAGGGATGGAATTTTCACTCAAGGAAAAACAGATAAGTCTAAGCCAGAGAGCATATATCTTGGAATACTAGATCGATTCAACATGGCGGATGCGAACACTGTAAGCACTCCACTTGATCCAGGAACGAGTTAAGGAAACCGACGGAGAGCCCATCTAGTGAAGAGCTGAAGTTACCTTATAGGGAGCTTATAGGTGCGCTAAACCTATCTATCGTTGGGAACGAGACCCGATATTAGCTTTGCCGTAAGCTACTTAGGACAGTTCAACAACTGTTACACTAAGGAACACTGGACAGCCGCAAAGCGAGTACTTAGGTATCTGAAGGGCACCATCGATCACTCGATAGTATACCAACGAGAAGACATGAATCTGAGAGGATTCGTTGATGCTGAATGGGCAAACTGCCCTGACGATAGGCATTCGTATACCGGATTCTCATTCATCCTATCAGGCGGACCCGTATCGTGGGAATCGAAGAAGCAAGCCACAGTGGCATTGTCTACCACCGAGGCGGAATATATGGGTACCACCGAAGCTGCCAAGGAAGCAATCTACTTGGGCAAGTTCATGACCGAACTTGGGTTCGAAAGACTCGCTAACGTAACCCTGTATAGCGACAATATGAGTGCTATAAAATTGGCCGAGAACCCAAGATATCATTCCAGAAGTAAGCACATCGACATACGTTACCATTTTGTGCGGGAGGCCTTGGAACAGAAGAAGTTTAAGTTGAAGCATACACCATCTTCTGAAATGGCCGCAGACGTATTGACGAAGGGGTTGTCGAGGACAAAACATCGGAAGTGCATGGAACTTTTGGGATTACAGACGACGGACCAGAGCCTGTATGTGTCTGCTACGTCTCGAGGGGAAGTGTTGGAACGCGTACTAGCGTCACCCCCGCCGCGCCGCTACTGGCGAGACGACCAGACAGGTTGCCTAACCTAGAAGCTTGTAACCGCCGTCCTGTCCCCGCGCGCCACACCACAGAATGAAGTCAGTCGTGAAGAGTCAGTCGTGGGAAGCAGTCGAAGTACAACAACGGCCAGCACACGCGCGCGGATCGCGGAACGCGGAAGCCTGATCTACACCTGTAGCCTATCTACCTATCCATGTACATGGTACTCAATAAACTGTTCTGAACCGAAGACCACTGCGAGTTGAATTGCTCTGCTTACCTATCCTCAACAATTATTATTATTATTAGTATGTATTATATTATTATTATTATTATTATTATTATTATTATTATTTTATTATTATTATTATTATTATTATTATTATTATTATATTATTATTATTATTATTATTATTATTTATTATTATTATTATTATTATTATTATTATTATTATTATTTATTATTATATTATTATTATTATTATTATTATTATTATTATTATTATTATTATTATTATTATTATTATTATTATTATTATTATTATTATTATTATTATTATCTTATTCTTATTATTATTATTATTATTATTATTATATTATTATTATTATTATTATTATTATTCTTATTATTTGTTATTTTCCACAGCCCTATCTATTCAACTGGTTCTGTCCATGTGGGCCGGTTTTGGTTGGTCATTTTCATTATGGTACTTCGAAGATGTTACCCACATCCTAACGAAGTCCATTACCTTATAGTGTCTTACGTAATATGGTTGCTGTACCATACAAAGCAATTTCCTGCACGTCTGCTGTCCTGTGCCTTCCTGGTATGAGATTTAGGTTTTCATGTAGATTGTCTGGGATCGTCCCTAATGCACCTAAAATTACGGGACTATCTTCGTCCTCAGATTCCACATTCTTTGGATTTCAATTGAGAGATCTTTGTATTTCAATTCTTTTCAGCTTCTTTGTTTACAACGTTTTCATCGTTGGGGACTGAAACATCTATTAGCAGGCAGGTTTTGTCACGTTGGTTTTTGACGATTATGTCTGGACGGTTCGCGGATATCTCACGATCTGTTTGCACTGGTAAGTCATATATTATGGTAATCTCATCTTTACTAACTACTGGAGTGGGATTGTGATTATACCATTTTTCTTCCACTGCGATCCCAAAGCTTATACAGATGGCATGATGCAAGTATATGCATATTTTATTATGTCGGACCAAGTACTCGTGCTTCGCCAGTTGAGGACAGCCGGATATAAGATGATCTATTGTTTCTGAGTATTGTTTGCACATTCGACATCTATCATTTGCTGTTATTTTGAGGATATGTTTCTCATAATGTCTTGTACGTAGGGCCTGGTCTTGGGCGGGCCGTTATCAGGGCCTCTGTTTCACCTTTTACCTTCCCTCTCGTGAGCCACGCAAACGTTTGGCATTCATTAATCCCTGGCCTCTTAATTCTCTTCACGTATTGACCATGAAGCTGCTTTCGTATCCATTTATCCTTCAAGGTCTTCCTTGTCATGGCCTTAATATCTGTAGATAGTAATTCTTCTTCATCCTCGACCGCTTGATTTCTATTTCCGGTAAATGTGTCTTTACAATTTTTATCGCTGACTTCACTACTGACTTTCCAACTCGAGGGTGCCTTTCACATCTCCAAATTTGTCTAACTAACTTATCATTTCTACGGCTTCTTAAATAATTGGCTATGGATACAACTGTATTATCATAAGTCATCTCTAATTGCCTGAGTCCTCTACCTCCTTCTTTACGACTCACATATAGCCTGTCTACATCAGCTCTAGGATGCAGCTGTCCATGAATAGTAAGCATCTTCCTTGTTTTACGATCTAGGTCTGCAATTTCCTTCTGACTCCAATCTATGATTCCAAAACTGTATTCTACTATTGGAACAGCTATACTGTTGATGGCTAGCAGTTTATTTCGTGCTGTTAGTCTGACGTAGTACCATCCTAAGCCTTCTTAGATATTCTTTACGGATGGTCTCTTTCATTTCATCATTACACAATTCTGGGTTTTCATAAACTCCAGATATTTATAGCTTTCTCCAGCATCTAGGTTTTTGATGGTAATATTTGCCTGGACTGTTATGTTTTCCGTTTTTTTCCACTTTTCCGTTCTTTATTGTCGCTTTGGCGCACTTATCTAATCCGAAGTTCATATGAATTGTGCTACTGAAGTCGTGAACTATCTTAATTTGCTCTTCAAGCGCTGTGTCCCGAACTCGCGTATAGCTTTAAATCATCCATGTACAGAAGATGTGTTGTTGGCTGCTCATCTTGAGTAGTTTATATCCCAATTTTGGCTTTTGATTTAGCATTCTGGACAGGGGGTACATCATCATGCAGAACAGGAGAGGTGATAGTGAATCTCCTTGGAATATTCCAGATTCGATTTTAATCTGCGGGGTATTATTATTATTATTATTATTATTATTATTATTATTATTATTATTATTATTATTATTATTATTATTATTATTATTATTATTATTATTATTATTATTATTATTATTATTATTATTATTATTATTATTATTATTATTATTATTATTATTATTATTATTATTATTATTATTATTATTATTATTATTATTATTATTATTATTATTATTATTATTATTATTATTATTATTATTATTATTATTATTATTATTATTATTATTATTATTATTATTATTATTATTATTATTATTATTATTATTATTATTATTATTATTATTATTATTATTATTATTATTATTATTATTATTATTATTATTATTATTATTATTATTATTCCGTTTTCTGTTAGCTATTCTCTGCTACTGCAGGTGGTATCCTCAAACGCGGCATTATACTGCAAGCGTCTGAGTGTGACTATTGGTTTCTCTTTGTCTATGTGGCTACATTCAGGACCTTGCGTGCTATATGACAACTACCTAAGATAGCAGCTTTCTGAAGTGAGAGGTATAGTTTCTGCGGCAGATTTAGTTTCTCAATATATTTATGTAGACTCTTAGGTATTTCTCCTGTGGCTCGATCACTATTGGGATGACTTCAACTTTTTCTTGATTCCACAATGTTTTTACTTCTGCAGCTAGTGGTAAGTACTTGCGAACCTTTTCTGTCTGCTTCTCAGCTATGTTATGTGGGGCAGGCACAACTAATGTCAATTATGCAGGTAACTTGCTTCATTTTATCTTGAATTACGATATCTGGTTGTTGTATTCCATGTTGTGATCTGTTTGAATTGTTCTATTCCAGTATATTTTATGGCTGTTAGTTTCTATAACTGGAGTCGGCTGGTACTTGTAATATGGGGTGCGGTCAGTTAGTATGTTCGCAGCATAACAAATTTCTTGGTGAACTATTTTAGCCACGTTGTCGTGGCGCTTCAGATACTCAGTGGA